ACCTTTTTACAATATTTTAGCCTCACACATTGACAATTTTATGAGAAATCCTTGTTTAAAAATGTAGTTAAAATTTACTGTTACTGTTTTAATTTTTATGGGCTAGCACCACCTTAACGGGATTCTACTGTATATCTACACACTGGCGTAATAAAAGTCATTTTTTATTTTTTAGTCTTTTTTATATATTTCTACATTGATGCAAAAAAGCATTATAAATAAAATGTTGTAAAAAAATAAATTAAACCACTTACCTAAACAAAAAAAAACGCGATATTAAATTTGAACGATCGCGAATATTTAAAAACATTAAATTTTAAAATAGTTATATATTTTACTTTAAAATATAATTAGAGCAAGATTTTCCATTGTTCTTTGTACCGTGCAATAAGTTTCCTTGGAATTCCCTTCGATAAGAAGCAATTTAATAATTTAATTTAAATAAAAGCACACAATTTTGCATTAAAAAAAAAAGCAAAATTGTCACGGAGATTTTTTAAAGAATCTCCGTGACAATTTCATTAAAAAGGTCCTAACTCAGACTTTTCCTAATCACTTTTTTCAAATTTTAATTTCAAAAGAAATAATTTTTTTTTCGGGTCTAGTTTAAACTATCATTTAGTTAAGTAAACAGCATGAGAAAAACTAATTCACGTGAGTATTTGTTAAAAAGTCAAAAAATATTTTTCTGTATTCTATTTTCCCCTAAAATATTTCTGTATTCGCCCCTGATATAAATGATGCTTCAATTGTATCGTTAGAAATTCAAGGATCATGAATTTGCATTTGAAGCGATAACGCTAAATGGTTTTATAGTTATTAATTATATGTAACATGTGGTATTATGGAGATATACAACTTATAATTAGGCGAGGGGAGGGGGGTGCCAAGGACAGTGGGGCGCACCGGGAAATTTCCCGGTTTCCCGGTGGGCCAGTCCGCGCCTATATATATATATATATGTATATATATATATATATGTATATATATATATATATGTATATATATATATATATGTATATATATATATATATATATATATATATATATATATATATATATATATATATATATATATATATATATATATTATATATATATATATATATATATATATATATATATATATATATATATATATATATATATATATATATATATATATATATATATATATATATATATATATATATATATATATATATATATATATATATATATATATATATATATATATATATATATATATATATATATATATATAGGCCCGTAGCGACCGGGTGGGCAACAGGGGCAAATGCCCCCCCCCCCCATAATTTTTGAAATAACTAATTTTGAAGAAAGTGGCTTAATAAAATGACTTAAAAAATAGTTTCAGGAACGCAAGTTTACACCGTTATAAGTTAAGACAATATATCTGATGCTGTTTTTTGTGAACGGTACAGAGTGGCGATTTCAGTTCTGCATGAGCTTGAAGAAATGCTCATAGAGGATCTGCATCATTCAACTCGTAGAAACAAAAGTTTATCCCAAATAGATCAAATTAAAATTTGTTTACATTTTTTGAGTATATGTTATTAAAATTTAATGATTACTTTGTGTTAACAGTTTAAATTTTTATATTGATTATGTAAATTTCAAGGTGTTTATATGAGTTCAATTTAATATATCTGGAAAGGCTGATAAAAATCTTTAAGTTTCAGTTTTTATTTTTTGTTTTTGTATAACTATTTTTTTATGTAGTATTTTTGGTTTTTGTGTGGTTGGAATTATTTTTGCCTCATTTTGAACTTGCATAATTCAAGTATGCCCTTTTCTAAATAGTATTTAAAATAGTTAAAAACTTTTTAAATTTCAGGAACTGCTTCGTTTTATTTTTGAAAGCGTACATGTTCGTACAAGAGGGGGAGGGGGTCCTAAATCAGTGGTTTTACTGCGTACTTTATGGATGCCCACTTAATACTATTTAAATAATTTATCAATCATGTAAATAACATTATTTTGAAAAGTAAACAGTATACAACTGGTGTAACATCCATATAAGCAATTCTGTAAAGTTTTTATTTTCTCAGACTTTGTTTCTTATCTAAAATAGATATTATATATACATAAACAATTATTTTTTACTTTTTAGTTCGCATGAAAAACGTTGCTTTTAGAAACAATTCATTTTTTGTTGTAGATTATTTTTTACATTTTAGATTTGTTTGGTCTTTGAAACGATTTAAAATATGGAATTATAATGCAATCAAGCTTGGTTTTGACTAAAAGATAAAATTTTCTTTTCACAATGAAAACGCAATGCATAAATTTATTTATCACTTTTTCAGCAAATTATAGTATATCTATTTATGCCATTCCTTCCTGGTTTCCAAATTGATTTGAATGCTAGAGCGGCAATGAGGAGAAGAGGTAAGGCATTTGAGCATGAGAGGCTAAGTGTATTAACAATAAGAATTGTAAAAATACATTGAAACGCAAAAAAAAAAAAAAAAATGCGTTTTGCGTTTGCGTTCCAAAATAAAAACTCAAACGCAAACTCAAACGCACTTGACGCAATTTATTGCGTTTACTTACGTAAACGTAAACGCAATTTATGCAAATAACCGCGTTTACACATGCATTTAATACGCAACTTAGGCATATAAAATGCGTTTATACGTAACTCAAACGCAACTTACGTGGCGTTTACGTGGCGGACATTTTTTTCTTGTTTCAAGAATTTATATTCCTTAAAGAAATCATTTTTTACTTGTTTCAATGTTATTTTTATTTAAAAAAAGATTCTATTTTTTTGTTTCAATAATATTTCCCCTGAACTATAAAACAATATTACAAAAGTACTTTTTCTATGGAACATTATTTTAAAATTAGGATGATTTAAAATAAACGAAACATTATTTTAAAATTAGGATGATATATAATAAGAATATTCAAAAAGCATTTATACATTTAAACAACAAATCTAATCGTTGAAATAACAAATTGTTCTTTGGAATGTTTTATTATTGTTCATGCTTCTATTTTTAATTTTCTTAAAGGGAACAACTATTCTTTGTTCAAAAAGAGTACACTTTGCAAGTATTTCATAGGTTAAAAAAAAAAGAAGAAAAAACGATAAAAACCTTATTTTCTTTTAAAAATATATTTTTCTCAAAATTTATTTATATATATATATATATATATATATATATATATATATATATATATATATATATATATATATATATATATATATATATATATATATATATATATATATATATATATATATATATATATATATTAGGGTGGGTCATAAAATTTTTTTTAAGAGTTTTAAACCTGGCTACCCAGCCGGCAAATAACGTTGAAATATCGTTGAAACCTAACGTTGAATTAACGTTGTTTTTACGTTTAGAATGAAAGTTTTTTTCAACGTTGAATCAACGTTATTTTAACGTTAGGTTCAAACGTTATATCAACGTTGATTCGACGCGAAAAAACGTTACAATAACGTTGAATTTACGTTGATTTAACGTTTAGAATGAAAGTTTTTTTCAACATTGATTTATTAACGTTAAATCAATGTTAGATTCAAACGTTATATCAACGTTAATTCGACGCGAAAAAACGTTACAACAACGTTGAATTTACGTTGATACAACGTTTAAAATGATAGTTTTTTTAACGTTGATTTATCAACGTTAAACGACTGTAAAATACTTTTTCACCATCAAAACGTGCTATGTATGTCAAAATGTATATATGTAAGTAAACGTGCTATGTGCGTCAAAATATGATCACCATCAAAACGTACTATGCATGTACATTAGTGTTGCTGTACATTATCAAGGTATATTATGGATATTAAATCTATTCATAGTCTATACTTAGACTATTTAGAACTTTTTCAGTTTAGCTTAGTTAAAATAGCTAGGTATGATTAAAGAAAGAGATAAAACTTGTTTTATTCAAAAATACATATTCAAATATTACATATATTTACATGTAATTGAATAAATTCTACACAAATTTCTTCTCTTTTCCACCATCTTTTTGAAATAAAGCGTAATTTAGAAAGTCAAACAATGTTCCATTAACCGAGGGTTCTTTTGGTCTATTGAGTACAATATAAGAAGCTGTAAATAAAAAAATATATTAAAAAAAAAACAAAAAGGGAAGATTTAAAAAATAAATAATGAATGGAAAAGTGTTACAACTAATGAAGGTATATCTTTTTCAACGCCATATAGATTAGTGTTCTTAAAACATATTTTTTCACCTTTGCCCTTCATATTCATGGAGGCCATATAACTTTTCGAAAATACTCTGAGTTTTAAAAAAATAATATAACTGTTAGTTCCCAGCAAACACACAAACGTTTATTAGACGTCGAAATAACCGTTTAGATTTGGTCGATTATACGTTCAGAATGAAATCCAGATTAACGTTTAGACCAAACCTCCATAAAACGTTTAGATTCCAACGTATTTTCGACGTCTATTATAGGGTTAATAAAGGTATATAAAGCGTATATTATACATATATAATGCGTTTAGATATAGTCTAATAAACGTATATGAAGCGTTTAGATTTAGTCTAATTAAACGTTAAGATCTAATTCAATAAACGAATTTAAGGGTATAAATTATTATAATTCTAGACGCTTAGATCTAGACTAATAAACATATATATATGTTTACTAGGTTAGATCGAAGCGACTAATATAAGTTGAATTATACTAAATTTAAACACTTTACATTCGCTTATTAGAATAGATCTTAACGTTTAATATATATATATATATTAATAATCTTATATACTTATCTTAAATAAACAAATATTTTGTATACTTTTGTAACTATTTACAACTTTTTTACTATATTCCTTTTATACTATATATACCTATTATAAAGTTATGTAAAACCCTATAGTTGAGATTTATCACATAAATGGCGGGGGGAGGAGGGGTGGGGGAAGAGGAGGAAGGAAGGAATTTTCTCAATAATTTTAAAAAATTTAATCGCAGTAATTATTTTATCTTAGCACTAGCAATATTACAGTGACGTTAAATCCGTGTAAAAAAGTCTATTTTGCTCTGGTTTATGCTTTCTCAAAAATCTTTCAAGTATATCGTCCAACGCATGTTCATCGTGCACCGGTACTTGTTCATCATGCGCCCGCTCTTTGTTATTCGGCGCCGGTTCTTGATCAACATCATCATTCATACTCGTCTCCTGGTCGTCTTCCTCTACATTTTGATCATCATTAATAACGTTTTCTTTATTCTCAAAGATGTTTTTTTTTGGTCCTCCTATCCGCCATGAGGCCTGTTTTAAATATGCGGCTATAGCATTATGTGCTTGAGCTACAGACATATTGGGGAAATTGTACATTATAGAATCTAAAAAAAAAATTAACGAAGTTAATAATAAATCCATTATAAAATTTTTTACCCTCAGAATATATAAGCAACCAAACCAGTCTGAAAATAGACTACAAATAGTCTATTTTTATAACAGCAAAAAAACTGGGTTATAATAATTTGCATTTAAAATATGTGTTCAACATTAAAAAAAAAAAAAAACATTGAAAAATCAACATTGGAATTACCAACAACAACTTTACATATAGAGGATCTTCTGAATGGAACTTTCCCCAAATTTCCTCGACCATCCATGTTCATTTGTGACATCAAAGAATTAGTAAAAAGTCGCGACATAATATACGCAGTAGTCTTTCCCAGATCTGATCCACCAATTTTCTTTAGCAAATGTAACTAAAATTAAAAAAAAGTCAATTCTTGATTATGGCAAAGTCGAATAGCTATTTTTATACAATCATTATAAGTTTATAAAACTTACCAAAAGAGTACTTGCAGCAGGACTTTCACAACGAAAAGCCAACGACTTGTATTGTTCAACTGTGTCAATGGGGCCATCACTAATTTACAAAGAGTCCATTGAGTTGTTAGCACTTAGTAAAGCAGCTGGCATCGATTGTCGCTCAAGGAGCTTTTTAACTTCCAAGATTTCTATGGTGAGTTGTGACAGTTTGAAGAGAACTGACTTCTGGAATTCTGAAATTCAGTTAAGCTATTAAAAGCATCATATCTTGAAAATATAAGTTAATAAAATTCGATCTATGCAAATAATTACAATATATAGTTCAATGCAATTTTATTTATTACATTAAAACATTATTTTAATCCATATTTAAAAATAATTTTTTACTTACTTGCATTTAATGGATCGGTGCTTTTACTTCATTGGATGCACTATTTCTTGATTTGACTGTAGAAGAATCACTAGCTACTGTTTTTAGTGATCTGACGGTGCGGACGGACTTGGGTATTGACCTTATCAGTTGGTTTGATGGTGTTGACGTGACTGGAATTGGCAGACGTGACTGGGTAGATTTTGGTGTTGACCTGATTGGTATGTTTGATGCAGCTAACAGAAAACATGATTGGCTAGGTTTTTTGGGTACAACTAGGTTATGTATTGTTGAAGGTAGTTGTGACTGAGAGGTTTTAATGCTTGATGTAAGCTTTGGATGAGCAAGAAAACTTTGACAGACTGAATTAGTGGTAGATTTAATTTGTCTACAATGTAAACGTGAACTTAGTTCGCTGAGCGCTTTTGGAGGAGTGGGGAACTTGGACAACTCTTCTAAAACAACAACAAAATATAACTTTTGAGTAAACTGTTGCAAAGGACTTTCATTTTGACAACACAACAAACTAAAACTAATTATTATTTCTTTAATGGTAATGACAAAAGGATTGACATCACTTATTCAATAGACTATTAAAATTGTAAAAGCTAAAACAAAACATTCTTAATCAGATATAAAACCTCACCATTGGAATTGTGTGGATAATTGTTGTCATCACTATCTAAAATATGAAAAAGTGATACTAAGCATTTTAAAGAATGAATAAAAAGCGTTTTAAAACAAAGACTTTTTTATTAAAGGGATCCCTAAGCACTATTAAAATATGATTTCATATTAAAAAACTTATAATTCTCGCTAAAACATAATAAAAGTGTATATATTAATGAATTTGTTTTCAAAAATGATTATAAATTATAAACTAAGATAATTCTAAACTAGAAAACAAAAATTAGTTTTTTGATATTGTCAAGATTATTATTATACTATATTTCGTGTATATAAAGACCACAAATTTTCCTTCGGTTTAATAAATATTTTTTAGAAATTGCACTAAATTTTAAGATTTCCATAAGTTCTAATTAAACTATTACTACATTTAAATTTTATTACTATTTTTTCTAACGAATTTTTACTTTCTAAACAATAAATAAAAATGTTAGTAGATATTCAGAAGTTGTTAAAGCTTGCCATATATATAAATAATTGAGTTTTGATATGAAATATTTACGATTACAGTTACATTTAAAACAGCGTAGTTTTAAAGTGATATTGGCAAATATTTTTTGTTAGTATGAATTTATTATTACAATTTATTAATATATATATACTTATTTATATATATATATATATATATATATATATATATATCCCTTGCTTTTTAATTTTAAATAAGATGTCAGGAGTATTTGGAGATCCCTTTAAGAACTTGTAAACCACAATAACTCCACTCTTATCATCATTATACTAGTATTAAGTCTTATTAAATGTTTTGTGTATTAAATTTTAAATATAAATAATTTAAATAATATAATAAATAAATAAAAATATAAATAATTTAAAATCACTGTCCGGTTATTTTAAATTATCAAACAACTTCACCTTACCATCTGAATTTTCTACAAAGTTTGTCGGTAGCTTTCTTTTTTTTATTTGTTTCTCCACAAGAGGTTCATCAATGTCTGTTGATATTGTATATTCAAAATTTTCACATTCCTGAAAGCTATCTGGAAATGTAATACTCAAAATACAGTTGTGCGCTATTTGTTTGAACAAATAATATATATATATATATATATATATATATATATATATATATATATATATATATATATATATATATATATATATATATATATATATATACATACATATATATATATATATATATATATATAATATATATAAATAATATATATATATATATGTATATATTATTTATATACATTATTATTATTATTATATATATATTATTATTATTATTATTATATATATTATATATATATATATATATATATATATATATATATATATATATATATATATATATATATATTATTTATATATATTATTATACATTTATATATTATTATATATATGTACAAATAGTATTGCGTACTAAGGTAAGCAATTTGACGTCATACTGAAATAGCCTGCTGCTGGGGGCTTCAGTACATACATCAACGGACAAATAGCCTGACTCGCAGTGGAGTGCTGCTACATCGACTGAGGGTTTGGGATGGGGCAGCAATCGTTTCATTCATCATTCTTTTTCTTCTTTTTTTAAAAAAGCCGTATGGATAAAGGTAAGCAAAAAAAGTGAGCATATGCTTATAAAAATACGCTTTAGTAAGTGTCTATATATACATTTTATACTATTTATTTTAACGACTATACTTTGTATTATTATTATTGTTTATACTATTTATTTTAATGACTATACTTTGTATTAAATAAAAAAGCCATCAAAAAAGTCAACTTTTTAAATTTTTTTGAAACACCATACCTGAACAGAATTTTATTTTCACTAATTCAAATTTGAACCAGTTGGATTGAGGCTCAACTCTCTGCTCATATAAATACCTAACATTTTTTGGAGGCCATCTAACAAATTTTTCTTCTACCCAATTGCTTGGCAAAGTCCCTTCTTCGTCTCTTGATTTTTCCTTCCAGACTGCTCGTATCCATAACATTAGGCTAAAAGTATGTAATATTTATATTATGCCTGAATATATTACATTATATGTGTATATATATATATGAATATATATATATATATATATATATATATAAATATATATAAATATATATATATAAATATATATATATATATATATATATATATATATATATATATATATATATATATATATATATATATATATATATATATATATATATATATATATATATATACATACAATCCTCCGAAGTAGGGTTGGCATTCGGCAATGCCAACCTAACTGCTGACTTTCAGGTGTTTGAGGCAGAAAAATTGCAGACCTAAAATACGACCATTTATATTATTTTTTTATATCTAACCTGGAAAATAAAAAGATATCTTCTAAAATTTTATATTAAAATTATCATCTTATATATTAAATTATAACCACAGAAAACCAAACTTTGAAACTTGACACAAAAAAAATACCATACAATAATACTATAGCATAAAGAGCATAAAAAAAATTATTAGAATATCAATAAAAACCAATGGAAAATTAATAAATATTTATTTTATCTACAATTTACTACTACTCGTTACAGTGCAGAAACGGCATAAGGACATATCCATCTTCACATGGCAGTTTAAGCCCCTTTTTTGCAATATCCTCATTAGTCACCAGTTTTGTTTTGGTATGTTTATGGCGGTTTTCTGAATAGTAGATACCTACAAGTGCTGAAGAACATGGTTCTATAAAAAAAGGTTGTAGATAGGAACAGTCAAAAAGGCAGCAAAAATATCCATTTGTTCTAACTTCTATAATCTGAGCATAAGTGTTATTTTTAAGCAACACTATTGAGTCTCTAGGAAGTGTTGATAGCCTCCATTCTCTTTGTTTTAACTTAATATTACCTTTTCGAATATGTTCAATATTTTCAGATTCTTCAATCCTCTTAGCAACTTGGACAAGTGGGTTTTTTGGTGTCCGAACATACTTTTTTAGTGTTTGGAAAAAATTCTCAAATGAAAAAGCACTAATTTCATCAAGCGATAAATTAAAAAAGCGTACGTCATCTGCTAGGTGGAGTAAATTATGAACATTATACACAACAAAATTATCTCCATAAAACTTTTGACAGTGTCGAACATAATGTTCTAATAGTTTTTGTGCATACTCAAGATATTGAACTCGTTTATCTTTATCAGGTGAAAGCAAAATAGTAACAGCAACAGACAATGTTAAAAAATGTTTGTACAAATCTGGTTTTAATATGCTTTTTAATGTAACTTGACCTGTATATAACAAGAATTGGCGGAATTCTGTAGCCTTCCACCTATCCAATTCAATCAGTCCCCGAGGACGCCTCGCAAACTCACTAGGGATGTACTTTCTTAATTCAAGGAGGTTTTCAGATATATTTAAAATTTGACGGCTACATAATCTTACTACTCTATCTCCTTTTTTCAAAAATTGAAGCATTCGTCTAACCACACCCAAACAAACTAAATGCATGTAGTCCAGAGAAAAAATGCCTAAACAGTTATTTGTTATTTGTACTAATGGTGTTGGACCATGTTGGTGACTATTAATATATGCCAAGTTGAAGAATTTATCTTCAGTGCGTCTTTCTGCATTAAAACAACCTGGGTTAACAAATATTGTACGATGATTAACTGACAATCCAACTGCACAACATTGTTCACACCCATGCAAACTGTTATGACCTTTAATATTTTTTAAAAAAGCTCTAGCCGGTGAATCACATATAAATGCCTGCAATAAAAGGGTATAAGTTTTTTCATTATAACTAAATCCATACTCTTGGAGTTCCTTAACCTCATAAATAAAATCTTGCAAAAATCATCTACAGAGTTTGGTTTAGAATTTCCACTAAAAAGAGCGGCAATCATAGGAGTAGAATTATTTATCGAACACAATATTGGCCAAAACTGTAAGCTAGATGATTTGTACAAAGGTATACCATCCACATTTACTTTCAAGTTCAGAATTTCATTACTGTCATCTATTTCTAAAGATTGTGTGATGATTTTTCGAAGCCCAAAATACAAATAGTCACCACCACATTTTTTGTATGTAACTATTGTTCTTGTGCTTTTTACAAGAGTTCGACTGTCCTTTGGAACATCAAAACCATGCTTTCGCAAGACACTAAGCACTCCGTTCACTTGAACATGCGTCATTTTACTTGTAAATGCCAAATCAGCCAAATCGTTTCTCAAACTTTCTTCATTGCTACTATCTGATCCTACATCACCTTCACTTTCCGAGCTACTAGTAACTGAACTCAGGTTATTAGTTTCAAAATCATCCTCATTATAGTCGATATCACGTAACATCTCAATATTATCCTGTTTCACAACTTCTTCAGCATTTGAAAAACTCCCCATTTCCTTTACCACCTTTCGATATTTTCTTTGGTACTCTGAAGTCATTTTCTATCAATAAAATGCACTGTATACCTAATTTAAAAGTAACACAATAAAACATTGAATTTTTTTAGGCAAGTACTACTTGCTTAGTAGGTACATTCAAAATGTGTTGAAACAATAAACTAAAGAGAAGATTAACAAAACAAAAAACATATATATATATATATATGTATATATATACATATATATGTATATATACATATATATGTATATATATACATATATATGTATATATATACATATATGTATATATATACATATATATGTATATATATATATATACATAAAATATATGTATATATATATACATTATATGTATATATATATATACATATATATGTATATATATATATACATATATATGTATATATATATACATATATATGTATATATATATACATATATATGTATATATATATACATATATATGTATATATATATATACATATATATGTATATATATACATATATATGTATACATATACATATATATTATATATGTATATATATATACATATATATGTATATATACATATATATGTATATATATACATATATATGTATATATATATTTGTGTGTGTATATATATATATATATATATATATATATATATATATATATATATATATATATATATATATATATATATATATATATAATCAATTGTATTACATTGCATATTTAAAAATCAATATATTTAATATGTAATATATTTTCAAATAGTTTACATATTAAAAATATTCAACCAATGTTATCTCATTGGTAGCAGGAATAAATATAAATAATAAATAACGACTAGAAAATCAGTAAATTATATATAATTTTTAATTAGTAAATAACCTCTTTACTAAAGAAGATAGAGTAAAATAGGGTAAAACTGAACACCAGAGAAAATTGAACACTTATGAAAATGTTATTAATTATAGAGAATTTTGTGCTTTATCTAATGACATAAAAATTAAAAAATTTCAATTAATAATTTTTGTAGCAAACTCAAAAGTTTGAACATGAGTATTAATTTTTTTTAATTTTATTTTAATACTGTCATTAAAATCTTGGAGAAAAAAAAGGAAATAACATTAAAGTAAGAAGATGTATTTGTAGTAAAAGTTACAATCAAGAATCTTTTTTCAGAAATAAAATTGTTATTTTCTAAAAACAGCTATAACTGAATCACTGAAAAAGTCATATTTTCAGGTAAAACTGAATGGTAATATTTTTCAAACTTATCTTTTATTTTAAAAAGCTAACAATTTCCTGTACAAATCTTTTCTATAACTTACTTTTAACAACTTCTTATACAGATCTAAATCAATTTAAAAAAAAATTAAAATAGTAATTAATTATCAATACTTTGCCAAAGTCTTTGGCATGTTCAGTTTTATCATAATTGTAAAACTGAACACTTTTTTTTTTCAAATAAACTTATTTTACTAAAAAACTTTGAGATTTTTTTTTTTTTTTAACATATTCGGATAGAGCACATCTTTTTCAACAAAAATTAAACAAAAATTATTTAAAAAAATCATTTAATTATATAAAAAAAATATAATTATAAATATAAGTGTTAGTTTTACCCCGTTTCACTCTACTTATTAAACATTTTAGTAAAATATTTTAAACAATAATAAATAATTTGTTATGTTATGCTATTACATAAAAAATGATACTTTTACTTATAAATAATAATTATACTTACAATAATTTGTATCATGAGAAAAAGTTGGCCTATTTTTTAATAACGCTAAATTTTCACCATGCTTATAAACAAACATGCTGTTCAGGGTTTGTAGCTTATATAGTCATAGGGTTCAGGGTTTGTAGCTTATATAGTCTATAACTTATAGTCACATCGAACAGCATGTATGTTTCTATAAAAATAAGCATGACAAAAATTTAGCACTGTTAAAAAATATATCCACTTTTTCTCATGGTCAAACTTTCCCATTTCTTTAATAACCATTTATTCACGTAATATAATCTTGTTATCCTTTGTACTGCTAACTTTACACTTCTTCCCATAACTTAAATATTTTTTATATTTGTTTATTGATGTAAAAAATATATCCTATTTTTTGGCATGCGCTCATAATTATTTTTTTCATCACCCCCTTAACTATTACAAATTCCTTAAGGATTTCCTCTTATTCTGTGAAATGCACCTCATTCAACAGGACTGCCAATTCGATTGTTTACGTTTGACGTCAGAGCGACGTAAATTTGTGTCCGTTTCATAGTCTGTTATAGACTAAAAAAAATTAAAACAAACAAAAAGTCGCTATTATAAATTATATTATAATTTATAATATCGACTTACATTAGTCAATATCTAAATGTTGGATCTACGTTAAATAAACTTATATATTAAATAGTTAAAAGGATAGATTTCAAACCTATAAAGGTTTGAAGTGTATCACGTGTAAAAAGTGTAAAAATTTCAAAAAACATAAAATTTTATATCTTAAGTGATGCCAAACCATTGGCAATTGTTAATGGTTTGCTCAATATAAAAGCGAGTTTGACGTTACAATTTTTTTTTCATTAAAAAAAAATTATTTCCGCCAAAAAATATAAAAATGCACAAACTATAAAATAAGAGGGTTTTTTTTTATAGACGCTTTCATCTTCAAATAAAAAATATATAAAAGGTCGATCGTCCTTACTATGTTATATAAATACTTGCATTAAATGGAAAAAAATTATATATTGTTAGAATATTATTATTAGTTAAAAAATTATTATTTTAGCAATATTTAATTCTTATTCCGTTTAATGAAACATTTTTTTTCCGTTTAATTTATATTGAGTGAAACTCAATAAAAAAAACTCAAAAAACTCAAAAGTCGTGTTATTCTTAAGTCATTTTAATATATACGTTTATTGAACGTCGATTCAACGTTTAGATAATGACTAATGCAAGTCGATATTCTAAACGTTTGATCGACGTTTAATAAACGTATATGCCAAAATATTTGAAATACCGATCAAAAATCAAGCGTCTATTTTAGGTCAATAATTGGTCGCTAAACGTTTTGTCAATTTATCGACCAATTTTGACTAAATATTGACCAATTATAAACCAGTCTGTGTTTGCTGGGTTGGTTATTATTAACTTTTTCAAATATTTAATTTAAATAAAACAACCTTTTTAATATATTAAAAATAAATTAATAATCAAAATATAAAACATTTCTAGCATTGAAAAATAATTTTCGGGGTGGCCACATAAAATTTTTATAAGAAATTTTATGTGGCCATTTATTAATGGTTTAACGTCCATGTTTATACACTTATGGGGCTTGGCAAGGGATCAAATAATGTCATTTGTTATGTTAAATAGCATGCATTTTCTAAAGCATTTTTTTACAATTCCATGCACAGTGACTCTGCTGGCGTTAAGGCCCTCAACTTTTGCCTTTCTCAATCTCTAACTCAAATAGTCAACTTTCCAACTCGTTTTCCAGACAACCCTAATCATTTACCTTCTCTACTCGACTTATGTCTTGTTTTGGATCCTAGTCAGTGCTCAATTTCTCCACATTCACCCTTAGGTTCTTCTGATCACGGTTTGATCTCTCTAAAACTATTATCAAATTCTTCTACTTCATCAGAATCCCCCTATCATCGTACCACATACAACTACCTTAAAGCTGACTGGGACTCTTTCCGTGATTTTCTTCGTGATGGCCCTTGGGTAGAAATCTTTCGTCTTCCTGCTGACAAATGTGCTTCTTACATAACTTCGTGGATTCAGGCTGGCATGGAATCTTTTATTTCCTCTCGACGATTCCAGGTCAAACCTCACTCTTCTCCTTGGTTTTCCTCACATTGCGCTGCAGCAATTTCTAATCGAAACCGTTACTTCCATATCTATCAGCAAAACAATTCTCCAGAAAACAGACATCTGTTCACTATCGCCAGAAACCATTGTAAAAAGGTTTTGTCTGACGCCAAAGCTCGCTATTCCCAGGTCATTAAATCTCGTATCTCATCACAAAAATTAGGCTCTCGAGACTTCTGGAGAATCTTTAACAGTATCAATAATAAGGGCAAATCTGTTATTCCTTCTCTCTTGTATGGTTCAGACTTTGTCACCTCACCTAAAGACAAAGCTGAATTGTTTGCTAAGAACTTTTCATCAATATTATCTCTTGATTCCACTAGTTGCGTTTTACCTGACATAGCCGTCAAACAGGTTGATCCCTTGCTTGACATTCGCATCACTTCAGCTTCTGTATCTAAAGTAATTTCCTGCTTAGACTCTTCAACAGCTTGTGGTCCTGACAACATTATTGTTGTAGTCTTGCAGAGGTGTTCTCCGGAGCTTTCATCCATACTTTCTAAACTATTTAACAAGTGCTTGTCAGAGTCTTGTTTTCCATCATGCTGGAAAGCAGCATCTG